GGATTGTGTATCCACAATCCCTGCATTCATGGAGCTTGCAATCTAGTCTACACATATCATTGTATATAATAAATCATGTTCCTAATAAGGCAAACAAATACAGTCTTCATGCTTCCCTAAAAAACTCTAGTTATTTATAGAACATCTAATTTTCTACAATGAAAATGTTGTTTGATTTGCTTAAATTGTAATCCTAAAGGGATTGCCTCATGGTTGTGCAGCTTTCTGCTTATACTGCTGATGATTGAATCCTTTCTGATGCTAGGATGTTCTGGGAGTTGAAAGACCCAGGTTTGAGTTCTAGTTTTGCTGTTGATTTTATAAATGCCTCCAAATAAGTTACTTCTTAACTTTGTCTGTAATTGAAGGGTTCGTACTAAATGATTTCTAAGGTCTCTTCCAACTCTCATTTTGTTATTAATCAAATTCGCCAAATTGTGTTATGTTTTAGGGGAGGGGCGCAAGAATCCATTGCTTATAATATATGTTTGACTTACAACTGAAGGCTGAAATTTAAATGTTGAGCTGATATTCCGTAATTGTATTTTGGTTTTATTTATAGATGCCAGAAGTGGGTGGAGAATTGTAGGCGAGCAGACTTAGAAGATAAAACACCTGATCAACTAAATAAACATTATCGATTATGTGCCAAACACTTTGAGACCTCTATGATCTGTAGAACTGTAAGTAATAGAAGGGCTTGGTTTCTCACTCTCTTTCTCTCTCACTCTGTCTGGTTGCAAGTGTAAATATTTATTAGTGTTGGAAGGTATCCCTATATCCTGCTACTTTAAGATGAATACAGATTTGGAGCCAAATAGCATCTGTTTTATTCTTAAAAACCTGATTTTTTAAAAAACCTTCCCCTCCCACCTCTCCCCAACCCCCTGTTCCTGATGCCCCATTCCCCCCAGTTACCTGAGGTTATCACTTTTAAACTTAATTAGTCTTCAGAGAAATTTTAGATGATTATAAAAGTGTATATTTAAGGTAAAGTTGGTGTTTTTTTGGAGCAGTTCTCTAGAGCTTTTTTATGAATGTAATCTTCATCTAGGAATGGAGCTCTTTGTTTTCATGTTTTTGTTTGTACTGTTAGTACCAATCCTTAATTTTTATGTGCTAGGTAACAACAGGAAACAAATCATAAGGTAATTTCCATCAGTCATTCGCAATTTCAAGTCAAGACCCTCTGTTAACTTTGTGAGCTTGGCCAAGTCACTTCACCTCTCTGGGCCCTAGTTTCTAATTAAGAGATTAGACCAGGTAATTCTTGAGGTCTAGGATTTTTAACCCTCTGTGATTGTATTGCTGTGATTTATAGAAGGCACAAGTAGGACAGATTTGATTGAAATAAAGCAGACTTGAAATACTTTAATAACTGTTAGGAAGACAGTTTTGTTAAATAATATATTCCTGTCTAGGTATAAATAATGTATCATCACAGAGATTGAGATAGACATAAACTTGATTTGAAGGTACACTATATATTGTTATGCAGCAATTTATTTTGATATTTTTTTCAGATATATTTTGCAGAGGCATCAGAAAACTAAAGAATGATTGGGTTATTTTATTTCTCAAAATTAATTGAAGCAGATACTTGTGAAGTCATTGGGAGGTGAGCCAATTCCGGTTCAACAGTTTAATCACAAATATTTGAGGAATATTTTTGCCTTGCTTTGTTAAGAGGGTAGTAATGAGCAACCAAAATAAGAGGTCTCATATATTAAAAAGGCAAATTACTTTTATGTTCTTGACATTAAGTAAAAATATCCCAAATTATTATTTTAAATACATAAGCCTTATAGATTTTTGCATTTTTACTTTAGTAATA